GTACAATGGATGATATTCAATTTGAATTCAACGATATAATATAATTGTATAAGAAAAACGATTCTGAGCGGAGACGGTATGTCAGTCTCGGTTTAAGACATACTATATACATATCTATGGTACTAAACCAAAATTTTACCTATAATAAATTCCAAATTAATCATATCACAATATCCATTAGGTACTTATAACGCGTTATACATCAACAAAAACCGTGATACTATCGTAGATATATAATAGTACACTTTAGAAGTTTCAAGTAGGTACCCACGAATAATATTATATAATCACAACAAAATAACTAGGTTTTTTAATATGTAATTTCGTCCAAATTTGAACTTAAAATGTCTGTAAAAAATAACTGTGTTCATATATTTTTTAAATTTTTTGGTTACAGTATGAACTATTTATGAGAACCTTTGTTTTAAATTTGCAATCCTTAGCTATAAAAACTGAACATTTTATAATTTATTAATTACAACCTGGAGTGTCACCAGTGGGTGGCTTCTCCTTCATGTTTTTCTGGTTGTAATCTTAATTTGTTAACACTTAAGCTTATTATACATAATTTGTATAGATTGTTTAACTCAAATAAAAAACAAAAAAAAAAAAAATTAATTACAATGATTGATAATTTTCGAGATTTTGATAAATTTTGTCAAAATTCGATCTTTAAATGCTTATAAAAAAAAACTGTGCCTATGTATTTTTAATATTTTTGAACTGATATTGTAACAATATATCAGGAGCCTTGTATTAAATTTTTACAGTTTTTGGCCCAACAGATAAAACTTTATTAAGTAGGTATAAAGTTATCTGTAAAAATAACAAACTAATGAAAAAAAAACTGGAAAACAAAACAAACTATATGGATAAATGTTAAATATATTAAGTTTTAATTATGTATTTTATTCTATACATAATATACTAATTATTGAGTCATACAGTATGATGTACCTAATATAAAAGATTTTTTTTTTGAAACCCATGTGTTATTATTAGGGCTTGGTTGCATTTTTAGAACATAATGTATGCTAAGTAAGCACAAATTATATTTCATGTAACTATGAAAGTGTGATTAAAAATACCAATTCTTTTAGACCATATTTTAACATTTTACAGTTTTTAAATCTTATTTGATATTTTGAGGACAATATTTCATAATTTTTATCTTAAGTAGAAACTTTATGAATCATTTTGAGGAAATAAAACTAAAGACTCCTAATTTAGAAGAATAATGAATAATAATAAATAAACTAATTTAAATCAGTCAGTTATAGATTGTAATAAGTGAAAAATACTACAGCTTATTATGAGCAGACAAGGACAAAAAAAGTTGACATAATATTATGTAATAGCCTAGTTTATTAGACCATAGGTATCTTAGTATTGTATCTTACTATTGTACATTATGGTTCATTAAAGGCGCCCTAAGATGCTAACTTCCAATTTCATCTATGTAAGACATTATAACAGTGTTTTTAAAAATTTAAGTTATTAATTTTTGTTTTTAAATAATATGTTTTGTTTTTGAAGGAATGAGCATGTCTTAAACTATTTTACATTAATTTAAAAATTACTGGCGTGGCTTGCAATTATTGTACAATTGACAATATTATAATTTAATATTTTAATATTTTATAAGGCTTTAGAAGTCTTGCCGTAGTTTTTTAGAAGTTGTTACAATTATTAGTTGTGAATGGTTTAGTCATAACTTGTTTATTGATTAACAAAAAATATAAAATATAATATTAACACAAGTAATTAGCACTTGGCACAAAAAAAAAAAATAGGTAATGATTTAACATTGAGTTATGATAAAATTAATTATGATAGGTATAAAAGAAGGTTAAGAACCTACATAAAATATAACTAGAACCATTGATTTTAGAATATATATTCTATTATAATAAAGTATGTATATTCTAAAATCAATACTAGAACTAGGTACCTATTTAGAATACCAATTTTTTTATTTTAAATTTTTATTGAGGCTAGCTATTTTATCCCTTAATTGTTTCTTTTCAATCACTAGTATTATTTATTAATAGGGCTAGGGACTTCATGCTCTGAAAAACCTTAAAATATGCATGCATTTATGCCCTTAAGAGGATGTCAGGGCACTATTTGTTTTCTCTCTCTGACCCACTCGCAACATAGACAAAACACATTTACGCAGAAACATTTTTTCTATGTTTTTAAGTAATCTTAGAGTAAAAACACCCATTACAAAAAAGATAGAGAATACTATTTTTGAGGGAATGTCATATCGATTTGTCTAAATATTATCTCAAAACAATTTAAACATCATTTTAATGTACAACTTTTTTTGTTTATTTTGAAAGTCGAATACAAAGTCAAATAACAATAAAATATAAAATCGATATGACATTCCCTCAAAAATATTATTCTCTATCTTTTTTGTAATAGGTGATTTTACTCTAAGATTACTTAAAACATAGAAAAAATGATTCTGCGTTCATGCGTTTTGTCTATGCTGCGCGTGGGCCAGAGAGAGAAAACAAATAGTGCGCTGACATCCTCTTAAATCCATCAAAAATTCTCTAAAAATATGCAAAAATGCTAAAATATGCTCTTAAAAATATTTTACTTTTCATTAAAAACCAAAAATTTACAAGTTTATTTATTAGTTTAGTAGTTTAGTAGTTTACTATTTATTACTTTAATTTCTTCTTCTTAAAACTTGCCTTTAAAGTTTAAACAAAACAAAAAGAAACAAAAAATTCAATTATAAATTAATATTGTGTTGATATTTTAATAATTTTTAAAATCCTACCCAAATGAATTGCATTGTGTGTCTAATATTTTTTGTATATTTTCAAATGTAAATGAGCGCCGATTGTTCGCTAATAAACTTTTGTACCTCAAAAACAAACGCTCGACATCAACAGATGCTATTAGAGCGAATTTATAGTATAAAGTCGTTGACCTCCAATAGTCTTCAAGATTTTCCATCGAATTGACTATTCCTTCTAATACATTAGAAATAATTTTAAATCCTTCATTTTTGACAGTACGTTTATTAATTTTTTATAAATTGCTTTTCCCTTATCTCGTTGTAGATTTTTTAATTTTTCTTTGACAGTTTTTATGACTGAAATACTCAGATAACATCATGTTTTGTTTTTCCAAACGTGTAATACATGAAAACTATAGTTGAAAGAAATAAATGCTAAGCCTCCTTTCAAATGTGGGTTGTTAACCATTTCTTTAGCTTTTTGGATGCTGTTTATGTCCTTTGTCATACAACTTTATTATTAAAACATATAATTTATAAATAAAATATGAAATAATGTGAACTATGCACTTAAAGTACAAATATAACAAAATATGCTCTTAAACAGAAAAAAGCTGAAAAATTATTGCTTTTAACTCTTAGTACTATGAAACAAATTTCTATACCTATTACTTAGCTATGTTTTGAATGATTATTGAGAAACATGCAAACTCCTATAAGTCCCTAGCCCTATTTATTAATATTTGGGTAGGTACTAGTTACTTACTATTAGCAGCTGCATCACAGAATAGATTAAATCTATTCTGTGGCTGCATCATTAATTTAAAAACAGGAATATGTTAACAAATTATAATTTGTACCCACCCATTTAAATTAACAATTAAAAAATTTCAATATAGGTACTTCTGGAAAGATATTTTCTAATATATAATTTTCGAGTAAAATATTTTATGCAAACTTTTTCACCGTTCTGCAAAATTGAGTTATATTTTATTCCATTCTGGAATTATACACCCAGCGGAATTTCTGCAATATTATTTTCTGGATTTTTACGTTCTACTGATATACATTCTTATCAGTTTAAATTCTATGCTATTTACTTTCTTTCATTTTATTTTCTGTTTAAATATTATCTGGGCTTTTTATATTCTGGTTGCTTTCAATTCTGTAATATTAATTTCTGTTATTTAACATTCGACTAATCTACATTCTGGCTTTTTTTTTTCTGGAACATTATATGGGCCCATACAAAATCATTAAATTATCGTCGTTATCACAGAATATATCGACATATCAAACATGAACTATGATAAAGATTAAATGTTAAATTGGTGGAGTGGTGGGAGGTATATTAGGAGCCGCGATGGCATGATTTAAAATTTCGCGTACGGTCGCTAACTTCAGTTTTTATCAGATAACAGTTGATAACGTTTACAGACGATCACGTTTCAAGTTTTGACACCGGTAGCGTCACAGTAGGTTTTGAAGTTGTCACCGGTAGCGCTCACGTAGCTTTTTTACGTGTTAAAGTCCCACCAAAAGTTTTAAGTGGGGATGTGGGGAGGAGCCTAAGGTTTTTGCGGTCTACGACCAATTTACCACGGGCCCGCGCGCGAGACTCTGTCCAGTGTTCGATCTGAGAGGACTAGTCTTCTCTTGTAAAACCAACCTGACGTCGTCCCCACCTAGTTATATATATATACAGGTGGGAGCGGTACGGGGGTACCGGGTGAGGGTTGGCGGGTCGCGCTGGAAATCACGCACCTCCGTCGGCCGCCCGGAGCAACTTTTTAAAAATTTTCGCTTTTTGGTGTACTCCGTCTGCCTATCCCCCGACGATTTTAAGGGGCGACGGTCCGTTCAGAGTTTACGTTACGCAGGCGTCGACCGACGCTTACAGGGAAAAAGGTCTCGACGCAGCCGGTACGGTCCGCATAATCTCCCTGTACAAAAACGGGCGACGCCTACACTCGTAAAAGCCTCGTAAAACATATATAACGAGGGCTACATGTTATGTGTATTTACGTTGCCTATCCTGATGGCTGCGAGGGGCTATTATAAAGATTCGCGTTTACGGCGTGCGGGCGTCGAAAGCGTTGCGATTATGGGTTTTTGGTCAGAGGACGCCAGATGAACCGGTGGTATAACGTAATTCTTACTATTATTTTTTTTCTATGTTCCCGTCACCAATAAATACGTCAGTCTCCAGTGAAGTTTTTTTATTAAGCTGTGGGCGCTCATAATGTACGGCCGCACAGATGAATATTACATACGCGAAGCGTCTCGTAACCCGAATTCGTACCTGTATAAAAAAATCTGCACCTCGGGACCCGTGACCACTTTCAGATTGTTGGCCGAACAGTCGTTTGACTTGGGCAGCGTTACGGTGAACAAGTTGGAACCTGCGGACAGCGTGTGGACGGAAAAAATAACCAAACCGGGCGACTCGAACGCTACGCAAACGTCGACGCCGCAGACGAAAGAAACGCAGCCGTGCACGTCGTCGTCGCGTCGCCCGAATAGTCTTTTCTATATTGAGTGGTAATTCTGAGCTTATTTCTTGAAATTCGTTATATTTTTTTCCGACACCGGCTCTCGGAACAGAAAAGATGCATAGTGCTCCCGTTGTTTGTTTTTCTGACCGAGCATCGTTTTCGACACCTGCACTAGCGAAATCGTATGAAATACGGCCGAACACACACACGTGAAAAAAAGTGTAAACGTCGGCGTCGATTTCCAGTTTCGACGCCGACGTTAACACTTTTTTACGTACGGGGAAAAAAACACGAAATAGAAGCGTTTTACTAATGCAGGCGTCGCACCGTCGCCTACGGAGCATGTGCGCATGCGCGTCGACTCTGCCATCCTAACGTACAGAACGCGATCGACGCCTGCACTACGAAAATAGTAGAAACGTGTGACGTTCGACCGAAACGGTGAATGGTAAAAAAGTGTTAACGTCGGCGTCGAAACTGGAAATCGACGCCGACGTTAACACTTTTTTACGTCGTATAAAAACCGAGAAATACTCGCGTTTTTACTATTGCAGGCGTCAATGAAGAATTTGGCGCAATTTGATTGTTTTCACGAGTGTAGGTATATACGTCCGTTTTGACACGTATTATGATTTTTTCGATATCGATTAGTCAAAAAATACGTCATAGGCGCGATCACGTACCGGGACGATTTCATCGGATAGTCACGATCTCGTACGAAGATAATGACAATTTGACGTACGATGTGCCATTTCCAAAATAGCAGATGAGCACGTGCCATCAGATAAGGGTGATTGGTGACTTTTATTATTATTATATAATCATTTTATATTTTTTTGTAATAAAACTTTTGTAATAATCGTACCAATACCAATACACATTGCACACATATTTATATATTTTGTTTTTTATTTATTTTTTATGCATTCGTCGCTACGATGTGTTCCCGTGCGCATAATGTACACGGGCGCTGTAGCGTTACCACCCATAACGAAGGCGATTCGTCGCAGACGTGTAGGTTTTTCAGTTCAAAGAGAATCAGAGCTCCACGAACGACTGCCGCTTATTAAAATAATAATTCTATATGACTTTATGCGTTCGCGACGCGCACACGTTAGGTTAGGTTTATCCTTAATTTTTATGTTGTTTTTCCCGGCACATTTGAAAATTACTGGAAATTTGAAATTTTGACCTCCCGAATTCACCAACTAGATTAACTTTCCCATCAAACAAGATACTGTTGAAGAAAATCGAAGCAGTTTCACTGCCCCAAACGTGAATGTGTGACCAGTGTGGATATTTTATATTTATATTGTTATTACTTATAATTAATACGATAACCGGTAAGTTGAATTAATATTTTAAAATTACAGCAAAACAAAAATTATTTATTATTTTTTTAGTTATTCTTGGTTATTTAATATGTAACTTTCTCCAAAATTGAACATAAAAAAACATAAAACAAAAAAACCGTTATATATATATTTTTGAGATTTTTTGTTACCGATTAACCTATGCTTACGTGGAACCTTGTTGTTCCAAACAGTTATTCGTTTTTGAATTACAACAATATAAGAAAATTGCTACTAGAGAAATCGAGTGTGTCTATGTATTTTATAGATTTTTTGGTAACAGAATTAACTACTTACGTGGAATCTTGTTTTAAATTTTCAATTCTTAAATATAGAAGTTGAACATTTTATACATTTTTAACTACAAAATAATTATTCAGTTTTAAATTTGATAAATTTTGTCAAAATTCGATGTTTAAATGCTTATAAAAAAAAATTGTGCCTATAGGTACACGATAACATTTTCAAAATATTTTGATTTATTTTGAACTGTTTTCATTTTTCATTTTTTTTTAGTTTTTTTTCTAGAAATATCAATAAAATTTTATTTGTTGGTTAAAAAAACTTGAAAATTTTATAGAAGGCTCCTAGTATATTGTTTCAAAGGCAGATGAAAAATATTAAAAATCGTTAGTCACAGTTTTTTTTTATAAGCATTTAAAGTTCAAAACTTGACAAAATATGGAAAAATCACGAAAATTAGCAAATTATTTTGAGTTAAGAATTCGTAAAAATTTTTCTTTTTAAATCTAAGATTTGAAAATGTAGTTGAAAAATATTAAAAATACATAGGCACAATTTTTTTTTATAAGCATTTAAACATCGAATTTTGACAGAATTTTTCAAAATCTCGAAAATTATTAATCATCGTAATTAATAAATTATAAAATGTTCAGTTTTTATAGCTAAGGATTGAAAATTTAAAACAAGATTCCACGTAAGTAGTTAATTCTCTTACCGAAAAATCTAAAAAATATACAATCACAGTTTATTTTTATAGTCATTTTATGTTCAAATTTGGACGAAATTACATATTAAAAAACCTAGTTATTTTGTTGTGATTATATAATATTATTCGTGGGTACCTACTTGAAACTTCTAAAGTGTACTATTATATATCTATGATAGTATCAGGGTTTGTTATTGATGTTGATGTATAACGTGTTATAAGTACCTAATGGATATTGTGATAATGTGATATGATTAATTTGGAATTTATTATAGGTCAATTTTTTTTTAATACCATAGATATGTATATAATTTGTCTTAAACCTAGACTGACATACCGTCTTCGCTCAGAATCGTTTTTCTTATACAATGATATTGTATCATTGAATTCAAATTTAATACCGTCCATTATACAGTGACCCACTCGTAACCTACAGTACAGCAGAGCGACATCCACTTACCCACCTTTTTTTAATTTTATAGTATATCTTAGTCCTTGACTTAAAATTAAGATTAAAAGTATAATTTATTGCAACAAACGAGAAATACATTATAGATATAATTAACAAGTTTCAAGCTCGACCAATAAGCACTGCTTGAATTCTAATGATCTGAGTTCATATTAAAAATGAACTAAAATGAAAATAAATATAACTTTATGTTATGTCATATTACAACATAATAAAGTAAAACAAAAAAGAAGAAATAAAGATTCAATTTATTATTAAATATAAGAGAAAATATTATTAATATATATTATCTTATACTTGGTGAAATTATAAAATTTTGTTAAATTAATATTATATTTATGTATTCAATTAATACACTAGTTTTGTTTAATTTATTTGAAATATTTTATATTTATTACTATAGGTACTATGTAGTACTAGTATAGATACAAGTTTTGTTTTATTGATTTTAAATATTTTATGGTTATAAATGGATGTAAAATTTTTAGTTAAGGGGATTGGAAGCGGCGATTTTCTGTCTTTATCTAACACACGTGGAACATAGGATTATAGACGTGTTCTATGTCCAACGTACCGATTAATCTAATGAAGCGATAAGAATTCTGAAAACAGATTTGAATTTGTCGTCAAGTCTACTTGAGATCGACTTTCCCACATTTTTGATTTTTTGATTTAAACTTCTCCAAAAGTTGAAATTTGTAAATTTTTTAAGTACTTTTTATAATATATCATTTTTATGATTTTGGTGGGACAATATCAAAAATGTGGGAAAGTCGATCTCAAGTAGACTTGACGACAAATTCAAATCTGTTTTCAGAATTCTTATCGCTTCATTAGATTAATCGGTACGTTGGACATAGAACACGTCTATAATCCTATGTTCCACGTGTGTTAGATAAAGACAGAAAATCGCCGCTTCCAATCCCCTTAATGCAGATTGTTTTTAAAAATATTTTACAATAGAACAAATTTTTATAAAAAAATGTAATATTCACATGCACTATTACATAATTTACATAGCTGTTAAATAAGCTAAAAGTTAATAATATGTATTTAAGATTTATGTAAGTAAGTTAAGTCATTAACATCATGAACTACCATTACGCCATACAACTTTAAAGTTTAAACCACGGACTAAGATATATCTTAGTCCGTGGTTTAAACTTATAGTTTATAATATTAATCATATTATGACAACTTGATAACACTAATATCTTTATCAGTGTTATGAAAATGTAAACATTCACCTCTTAGATAAGAGAATTTCAGCCATTTTGTTGGCTTCAAAAACATTTCCAAGTTGTCTATCTAGTATTTTTATATATCTGTGGCTGTGATTCTACTATTCCAGTATTCCTGATTTTTTCTATGCCTGACTCATAGGGCATAGGTACTTAAATGGAATTATAAAACTTACTACTTTATAGAATTGTACATTTTTAAAAATGTTTCCAATTATAATATGTTATGGTAAATAATATAGTGATGTGTAACAACTACAAAGGGTTTTTATTTTCATAAATTTTATTATTTTGTTGCCACAATTATGGTCTATAAGTGTTGTGTGGCTGGTTGTAGCCAAAAATATATTAAAGGCCTGAGTTTGTTCAAGTATGTATTTCAATTAAATATAATATTATTGTATTTTATTATTATTATTATTATTATTATGTATCTGTATGAAACTGTTTAGAGTTCCATTTCAAGATGCTATACGGTCAAAAAAATGGACGAATGTGATAGGGATAAATGAAACCAGAAATAAAAATTGCTTTGTTTGTGAAAAACATTTTAAAAGTTGTGATTTTGATCACAATGGAGTTGGTGTTAATGTTAAAAGATTGAAATTCTCTGCGGTGCCCAGTTTGTTTTTACCGGTGATAATCAATTTATTTAAAAATTAATAATGAAAATCGTATTAATATTATCTATGTACATAGGTGATTGAAATAGTTAATGAAGAATATGAGCATAGACATAACAATATGGAATCGTCATTTGATTTTGAGGTAAAAAATAAATCCACACGACTTTTAGTTGGATCTTTAATAAAATTTTAAATAATTTGTTTAGGAAATTGAATTGAAGAATGACAATCTTACTAATGAAAATTTACCATTGAACAGAAATGAAAATAATGACAGTATTTGTAATGAAAAATCACCAATTAAAATAAATGACGCAACGCCAAAAACACTATTTCCTCAAGTAATAAACCATAACAATAAATAAGCATTAAGTTAAAAAGTATATTATATAATATATACAGGGTGTAACAAATAGAACTGACTTTTGTTCTAATCAATAATTTAAAATTTTTTTTTATATATAATTTATAGCCACTTGCGCTACACTTGTAATAAAAAAAAAAAATTTTTATTTTTTAATACCAAAAATAAAAAATTTTAAATTTGATTTAAATTTTTTTGAATAAATTCAAAATTGCCAATTTGTGAATCTGATTATAAGAACGATTTGGATTTTAAAAACATTTATCTAAGTCAAGTAGTTTATTTTTTAGAATTTTTTTAAATATCAATATTTTTTTGATTAAATTAATTTGGAACTTAACAACTTTTTTAAAACATTATTTTTGGAAATTTGCTAACATGGGTATATTTCTTAAACTATTTACCTATCGTATAATTTTATCAATATTTCTCATACGTTTAAGTAGTATCATTTTTGTTTTTTTGGTCAGCTCTTTCTGTTAAATTCTGTGTTTATATTTAGCAGATGAAGCTTCAATATAATGTATCCCAGGAATATTTTCTGCTTAAAAAAATAGGGGAGGGGATTGGTTGTTTAAGTAAAAAAAATATGTATATAGTATTATGTATTTGGTAAAACTAGTTTTTACATCATGTCAGTCCAAGTAGTAGTGATGAATGATCATTGCTTGCAAGTATGGATATTTTTATATATATATTTTATTAAAAAATTTTAATATTTTAAATAAATAATTACCATAATAAAATATAAGAAAATAAAAATGTATAGTCTGATCATAGAACGCTACTGGGCAGCGAACAAAACTTGTTGTAGTCCGCACATCTCTCACAACGCAACTAACACTGTTGGGCAATCAGCTGTCTTGTCTTCAAGCAATGGTTTACAACAGCGCGTGATGGTTCACGGCGCTCCACTTGGTGGGAGAAATTAAATCTTGAAACAGCTTAGCATGTTAATTTTGATGTGCAGTCTAGTAGCGTTCTCTCGGTGACTGGACTATAGTAATATAATAATATCTTATTTAAATAAACAAATATTATGTTTAACAGTCTTTGACTAGCTATCAAGAAATATTGTGTGTTTATTGCAATATAAGACAGAGCATTTTGAAAACCAGAGAATATTATTTAAAAAAACTAGCTGAAATAAAAGAAGAAGAAAGTAAACTACCTTTATCTTGTCTTTGCAAAAATAATGAAAATATCAAGTCAAATAAACAATTGATGAGTATGTTTAAAATTAAAAATATGTTATAGATTTAATTATTTATGTTTTTAATTAATTTATATTTTATAGCACCTTTGGATAAAAGATGTAATTACAATTGTTCTACTCCAAGTCCAAAATCACACGCGAGACGCGCCTTTATCCTTGATCATTCATATACATCATCTCCTTCAAAGTTGATTAAACACAAAAACTAATAAGAAAATTAGTTAAATTAAGTCAAGGAGAGTGGTACAAAAGTGTATACGTCAAATAAAGGTAATTACTACATTTACTGCCCTCAAATGTACATTTTTAGTGTATAAGCAGAATGTCAAACATTTATATTGCTCAATGATATTTGACAAAATGCACATAAAAAGACAAAGAGCGTGATGGGAGAAAATGTTGTGGCCTTAGTAGTACCATTGATTATAAATACTATAGATTGCACACTGGACGGTTTTTTCGAAGCACAAAATATTTACTGAAACCGAAAAACCATTCAGTGAGCAATCTATAGTATTTATAATCAATGGTTGTACCTATTGGAAATGGGTGTACATATCAAGTGATCCTGTACTGATGTCTGATACATAGGTTTTGGTAATTTTAGTAGTTGCTCTTGATGATTCTTCATGGAAAGTTCCAATTGGCTATTTTTTTCATAAAGGTCTAAACTAAAAAGACAAAGGAAAATTAGAAAATTAGATTTCAAAAATCTATGAAATTGGTAATCTTTTTATATATTTTATGTATAAAATTAAAAAAAAAATGTTATTTAACATTTCAGATATTCAAGTTACGTCTAACTTTTGATGGTCCTGTATCTCATTTTTCCATGGCTCATACATTAAGGAGAAAATGTATTAACAACAAATACTAAAAAAATTTTCAACATCCAAGTGACCTTACAAAATTTGTTCACTGCCATGCTCTGTTCATGAGAAATGCTTGGTCTACTATGCGCCTGATTTATGATGGTGATGAGTCGAGGAGAAGACATTTGGAAGTGACCACAACACAAGATGGATAAACACACTGGACTCAGCCAGAAAAAACTAGTTTAAACAACTTAATACCCACCCATATTATTTAATTAAAAAAAATATATGTATATAATTCCATTTTTAATTTATTTATTAATTTTAACCAAACCAAAATATTATTTTTGGAGGACTACTCACCTCCTCGTGGTATCCTCTGTGTGATGCTAAATAGTTATCTTAAAAATAATTTCTCTGCTGGGCGTAATTATTACATAGAAATTTATACCTGAAATCTATCTTTACGGTTATCCCTTGTTTTCAGAGTGTTGAGCAACAAACGTGTAGTAAAATGCACAATTTTTTCTCAATATTGTTCAATAATGTGGTAGTGTTGCTCTGTGATCTTCCCACATGTTGTTGTAATCTACTGATATAAAATTAAAATTAAATTTTATTACTGTTTTATTATGTTAGTTTTTAATAATTGGGTGAGTAATGTATAATTAATACCATTAGTTGTTATGAAGCTGACAATTGCAATCTTTCTACAATATCACACAGCTCAGCAACAGATGTTTTTGCATTCAAATCAGTAAAACACATTTTATTTTTTGTAATATGTTTGTCTTCAAATCACATATTATTCATAGGAAAATACACTGTATGTCCAGTAATTAGTTTAACTAAGTTGAGCAGGTGCATCGCAGATATAACTAATCACTCGGAATAGCTTATAATTTTAATTGCTAAAAATGTTTATATTTGTACTTCATGGACATATTCTATTAGATAACTATTAATGACTAATGTCATTAGGTTCTTTACTTCCATAATAAGCATCCATCTTAAAAGGTTCAGATTATATTGTAACAATACAGCACAATGTTGGCCAAAGACATCCATAGTTTCCCTTATGGCCTTATTTACAAACACCCAAAACTAATAAGTACATCAACATTATTTTATCAATCAGATAATCTGCCATTATTGATTATATTATAACTATAGCTTACACAAACCGTCCTACAAACCAAAATTAATATATTCTCCAAAGTCACCGACAACTCTTGTCACAAGTGATATTTTGGGGTATTTCATAAGAGTTCTTTAGGAAGAAACTTTCATCAGTGTCATTAAATCAATTTTTTGTACCATTTTATCGTATATAACGTTGACCTAAGAGTTTAAATTCTTTATATAAATGACGAACAGGCATATTTACAATTTAAATTTCAATGTTGGTGTATAGCTGATCTTTTTGATGTCGCGCTGCACAGTATACAATTAGGACCTTCACATAGTCACATCACAAGGTACACATTAAATACATTTTTTTTCATAATAGTTTAGGTATACAGTACCTAGATAAAAAGTACAAAGTAGTGCGACGACTGCAACTAACAAAATTTTTTTTTGTGTCTGTCAACACGGTTTGGGGCAGTAAACTGCTTCGATTTTCTTCAACAGTATCGTGTATTATGGGAAAGTGAATTTAGTAGGTACCTAATTAATTGGTGCATTCGGGAAGTCAAAATTTAAAATATCCAATAGTTTTCAAAAGCGCCGGGAAAAACAACATACAAGTTAAGAGAAAACTTGAACTTTTACGCAAAATCAGTTTTTGACAAAATCGATTTTGGTTTTTGGTTTATTTCTATGTAACTCTAAAACGAATGACCGTAGATACGTGCAATTTTCACCGAACATTTATATTAGCAATAAAAATAAAATATTTTGTGCTGTTTACGGACATTATCTTGAATACAATAAGTTCTCAATATTGTATTGTTACAATGGCATTTGAAACATATTAAAAATCCAGTCACAATTTTTTTTTTTTATAGTTAATTAAAATTCGAATTTGTCAAAAGGCGTAAAAATCACGAAAATGTGCGAATTATTTTGAGTATGAAATTCCTAAATTTTCTTTTTAAATCTAAGATTTTAAAATGTAAGACACGATTCCTTATTAGGTTATCTACCTTTATCAAAAAAAAAAAAAAATAATAATATCTTTGAGAAAGTCAAATTAAACTTTTATGAGTGTTTGAAGTTCATATTTTTACAACATTGGATGTTCACCCGATTTCTCATGTTTCTCGATTTTCTTATTTTGTTGTAATTCAAAAAAAAAAAATAACGGCCCTGGCTCTGGAGACAATACATGCGGATATTGAAGGTTTAGTTCGTGATGTTCTTTATGTACATATTAAAACTTAAAAGTTCGAAGAACGTATTAGCTAATAACATTCTTCGTCTAATTTTTCAAAGAACGTAATATTACCTATATAGGTTTTATAACGTTCTTTGTGTAATTGTTCAAAGAACTTTAGGTATATATTATAACTTTCCTCGTGTTGATTCTTAAAATAGCTTAAAAGATTCAAATTTAAAACGTTTTATCGTGGAAAAGTTCAGTAAACATAATAGTTTTTAATGTTATTTCATAGGAAGGACCTATAAACTAAATTAAATAATTGGTTTCGTTCCATTATATTTTTGTTTATGAACAAGAACGCTGCTTATAAAAAACAATAATTGTGCCAGGGACTGGAACAGTACCGAAATTGACCGGTTTTGGACCGAAATCTTTTGAAAATCTTGGGAGCGAAACCGGACCGGAACCCTTAAATACATTTTTTAGGAACCGAAACCTATAGTTTGATGTAGAGGTTTTTTCGGGTTTTTTCGGTTCCAAAATCCTCTAGATATTTTATCTATTTATTCATACGGCGTTTTAGATAGTCAATTTAGCTACACTACTGTCGCGGTTCATTAAAATTATTAAATGACAGCCGCAGTTACTACTGAAACCTGTCTAATGAGGCGCTTAATTTTAAATAAAAAGAGCTAAAATATTTTTAAAATTACACGATGTTTAACAAATGCTAATATAAATATACGTAAAGAAAATGTAATGTAATTTATTATTGCCCATGTACCTATATACATAAATATAATATAAGTATAACCAAATAACCAATATATTTATAATATTGTAGAACTAAAATGTAAAATTGTTTTAAACCGAGATGAATTATGCATAAGTGGTTAATTACAAATATATGCATATAATTATGATTACCTCTATATTTAACGAATGATTTTAATTATTTAAAACAATAAGGAAATATGACTTAAACATTAGAAAAAAAAACTATTTTCCAGACAACGAATCATGATAACTTATACCTACATGCATTACGACTTATAACTTATAAGTACAATTAATATTCAGCCATTGTCGAATATTATTATTTATTTTCAACGAAAACAATATTATTTTTACTGAAGTCAATTGTTTGTGAAAAATAATAAATTAAAATTATAAATAATTGAAACATCAAATTGCATGAAAAAAATAAATATTTATGACAACCAGTAAAATATATTTTATGGTTATTTTTGTAATATTATATTTTTCAATCATTCTGTTTTGTGTAGGAAACAATCTACCTATATCCATCAGATAACACTAAACGCTTCATAACGTTTAAATTTGTAAAACGCTTATATTGAATAACGTTTAAGGTCTATTTACACGTAACCGTTCCGTATGCGCACCGTCCGTTCAGTATCAGTGCAAGTGTATAGACCTTAATTCTTTATAACGTTAAACAGTTATTGGATCGGCTGGTACCGAATTGGTTCCCGAGCTCCAACCCCACGTGCCGAATTGGTTCCCGTTCAAAAAAGGTATTTTATTAAGTTGAACCGAATTGGTTCCCGTTACAGTACGCACATTTTCCTTCTCAATTTTATAGGCTTAGGACTGTCAATTTAAAAGTAGGCTTGGTTAAAAATGTGCGTTAATGTGTGTTATGAAAAAATGATATGATGTATAAAATGTTAAATTGTGGATTTGGAAGTCAACTAGTCATCACTTAGGTTAGGTGTCAAAATATAAATAATAATAATAAAAAAAATATAATTATTTAAAATCGTTGATTTGCATATTTGAAGCAAACTTTCTTTAAGTATTCAATCCGCGTAAGCTTCTCATTAATGTACTCAGTCATACAATTTTTCAAGTATTTGTTATTTCTTTCCTGTTTGCTAGTAAGTTACCTAGTATTATTACTTCGAAATTTAATATAATTTATTGTCTGAATGCTGTTTAAAGTCTCCATAAAATAAAATATATTAGGATGGGCACTTGTAAATTCTTTATTCAGCTTTGAATGGAACGATTCGCAACAATTTGTAGTTCTATCAATATTTTTGTAAAA